AGCCATGGGAGTTGAAGTCCACTCATCTTAAAGTGGCCAAGTTTGGACAACACTGCCTAAGTGACTTTAAGATGGGTAGACTTCAAACTCCCAGAATTTCCTAGCCGGCATCTTGAGGTTGAGAGACGCTGCCCTAAGGACAGCCCAGCAGTGGTGCCCCTTGGTCCTTCTGTTGCTTAACTGGCGTTAAGTCTCAATAAGTGCTGATGGCAAAATAGGAGATTAAAAATTCAGTTTTCTTCTAGGCCATCCCACAGGCCGGACCCCACAACTCTTATTAAATATCAACTTTTTGAAAACATGGCGTTTATTTAACACTAAATAGTAGTAAGCAATATAAGCAAATTCTTTACTTATAACCAGAGCAGTAGGAAAAAAAACATTCAGTACAGGTAGTCCTCGTTTAATGACCACTCGTTCAGCGACCATTCAAAGTTACAACAGTGCTGAACGAGAGGGACTTAGGACAGGTCCTCAAAGTTCTGACCATCGCAGCATCCCCACAGTCATGTGATCGCCATTTGCCACCTTCGCACAAGCAAAGTCAATGGGGAAGCTGACAGGGAAGGTTGCAAGTCGCTCCAGTAAGTCGCTCACACTCTGTCACATCTGGGAGCAGCCACCCCTGGCCCCACCACGCTTGTGCTGCCTCTCACCAGCCACTGGGGCACCCTTCTGCCTGAGAGCAGCCACTTACTGGCCTGCTTGCAAGCCGCCTGGGATTAACTTAACGGCCTGCGATCTCCGCTTAACATTGGCAGCAGGGAGTGCCAGGACTGCTGTCACTAAGTGATGTGGTCACATGACATTGTGTTCTATGACCGCATCACTTAGCGATGGAAATTCTGGTCCTGATTACCGTCATTAAGCAAGGACTACCTGTACTTTTAATACATTTTTAATAACATTGGTATAAGGGAGAAATGCTATCACAAATGTATTGAAAACTAAAGTGGAGTGTGGCAGTGAAAGTTAAGAGCGTGGTACCTGAGGGAGAAGCTCTGCGGTGCCCCTTCCCCCTGGTCCCCTAAGTGCATGCTGATTTTCCTCAACAGTTAAAGCAGAGCTGGGTTGCAGCTACTTTTCCTGAAGGAAGACCCCTATTTCTTTCCCTTAGAGGCTGGCAGGCCCACCTCTCTCTCACAAATGCCCAAGGAAGAACCTGGGAAAACTTTGAGGGATTCCGTTTGGTGTTTTGTCCTCCTTTTGTGAGAGCTTAGCCCTTGTGGAAAGGGTTTGGGGGCTGCACGTGGTGCTTCTCCTGGTGGCCAGTTTTGGTGCATGTTGCTTGCTGTATTTGCAAGCATTTAGGGCAGTGTTTCTCAACCTGGGCAACTTTAAGATGTGTGGACTTCAACTCCCAGAATTCCCCAGCCCATGCATGCATTCTGGGAGTTGAAGTCCACTGCATTAGGGTGTCAAGCAGACTTTCCAAAAGATGCTCCCCTTTCTCCCTGCTCCCCCTTGTTTGTGATTTTGGGCAATGGCCTTCCCCAACCCCAGTCCTTCAGAAGTTTTGCAACCTTTGTCCAGGAACTGGGAAGCTGGGAATTTGGGAGTTGCAGTGCCAATGGACCTCAAGAGTGTGAGGTTGGAAGACTGCAGGATTTGTTAAAACATGTTCTGCGTTTTACAGTGGTACCTCGGGATACGAACGCCTCTACTAACGAACTTTTTGGGTTACGA